GTACACATCTCAACAAAATGATATCTCAAAAAGAAACAATAGAACTATACATAATATAGTTCGATGCATGTTAAAGGAAAAAAGAATTCTTAAAGAATTTTGGGGAAATGCTATTGCTTGTGTAATTTATTTGCTTAACAGGATTTCAACAAAATGAATTGTAAATATTACACTAGAAGAAGTATGGAGCTTATAGAAACCAATATCCTCTTGGATGTTGCGAAGGTCAATATACCGATTGGGCAATACGTCGAAGGAGAGGATGATACGCCGAAGGAGAGGACGAAGCGCCGGATAAACCAATGACATGCCGGACAAAGGATTTATGCTTTGTAATTAATTGTGTCTTGATCAAAGTAATTTATAGTATAATTAAATTGATTTGTAGTGAAACTAGGTCAACTTAATTAAGGGCCCATTGGGCCTAATTTAGGGTTGAGTTGGGCTCATTGGGAGGTCGATTTAGTGACTCAAAAGTTGGGTCAAGCGATGGCACCGCCAGACAATAGAACAGGATGAATTTGACAACTCCATAAGTTCAGCAAAACGTAAAATTAACTCAAGAATATTATGTTGCACAGTTCTGTAAGGACCGGATGAATTTGACAATGCACTAAAGATTCTGAATATGTCTCAGATACAGTCAAGAACATTTTATCTATAGAAAAAAAGGTGCAGTTAAGAATCTAAAATGTTTATAAAAAATGAAAAATCGTACTGGATAAGTCAGTTACACTAAGCTCCAGAATCTTGACAAATAATGATCAGGGTACTGTTTTTGCTAGAAGGAAAAAAAAAAACTAACATGATAATATCTTATCAATTGCATTTATTCAATCCAATGATAATGTATGACAAAGGAAAGAGAGAGAAATTCTAGGTAGAGAATGAGAAATATACTGTCCAAAGATACAACATTTTCAGGTAAAGCAACTTAAAACTGGATTCAATCTTCTCCAAGCATGCAGTAGCTCAGATCATAGAATACTATTCAACATCTTTTTTACCTGAAAGATGATCTCTAAGACTTCCACGAGCAGCATATTCATAAACAAGTCCAAGTTGATTGCTGTCTCTACAGTACCCGATCAAAGACACTAAGTTCCTGTGATGAACCCTCGATAAGAGAAGAGCCTGCCACCTAAAGAGGAAGATATATACTTAATTTCATCCATAACCTATTTGTTCATTAAAATGGTAGTCCACCAAAATGCATTCATATAGATTGCATACCTCGGCTTGAAACTCTTTCAGCCCATGTGATCTGGAGCCAGAATTTGCAGACATGGACTCCTCAGATGATGTCCCTTTGACCATCCGATGTGAGTGCAAAAGTTTTACTGCAGCTTCAGTGCCATCATGCAATCGACCATGGTAAACATTCCCAAACCCCCCCTTTCCAAGTACAAGATCAAAATTGTTGGTGATGGCCTTCAATTCATCATATGTAAATCTATGGGTTTCGGGTATAGCAAGCGCGTCTTGAATTGGCGGTGCTATTATTTCATTAAAAGAAACAAAAAGAGTGCTGTTAACACTGCTTCTCATTGTAATGAAGGTGAAGTTGCTAGTACAGAATTCCAAAACATGCATCCACAAGTCACTTGTAACCTCCAGAGAGAAATTTCATGAGCTATGATTCATAATAACTCATATACCTACCAATGATCACATTCCATTGTCTGTATGTTAAATATGTCCAGGATCATGTAATTTGGAAAAGTTGTGTAGATAATTCTAAAACAGACTCTATAATAATGAGCATAAAGAACATTGATGAGCCTAAAACATACTTTACAAATATAAAGGTGAAAAAGTTAGCTAAAAATTAACTGACTTAATTTTAGGCAATCACACTTATATACAAGGTTTGTCAAGCTTTGGTAGAATGGTAGATATTATTATTTATCAATGCACTAGTTGTTTAAAAGTTTGTATTACACATGGCTTAAAAATTGACTCATTTAATCTTGATCTATTTGATAAAGAACTTAGCTTTATCAAAATTTTAATCTCAGGCAGAATTTAGACAAGACTAGAATTGAAAAAGATCAGCATAATTACACCCCAAATCAGAGTTGGGAAGGTTCATCATAATGAATGGTCTTATGGAATAGAAACTTCCCTTGAAGTAGTGTGTGGTATCAACCATAAGCTTAAAAAGTTGTTTGGATGCTAACATCTACGGCAGATACAGTAACCAAGCAAGAAATCCTTGCTTTACGAGTCTCACTTTTGTTACCCTAGATAAAAGAGAAAAAAAATCTTTTCAGCAATAAAAGAAGTTATTTTTCTCTCTGATATCAGAGAAGACATGTCCTGATATTATACAGGTAAGAGTTCTATCTCACTTCTAACATTGCCTTTCGTTGAAGAAGAAAAGGACATTATACAACAAAATTGTATGTTTATAAGCTATTGCTTGCTTAAAACCACTTACATAATTTTGTTGTAGATTTTCTTCTCCTCAAGAAGAATAAAAGCAATGATAGGAGCAGCAGTATAATCAGCGCTGGGACGACAGCGATCAGCACAATGGTGAATGTAGCAAGCTTCCTTCCTTTGCTACCAATTTGACATGTACTATGACAGAGACATATATCCGGATTGTTGTCCACTCTTTGCAGAACATAAAGTTCATAAGATATTAGTATTAGGTAGAAGGAATTGTGGGAAGATTTGGGATGTTAGACTACAGCACAAACCTCAACTCAAGCAATCCTTTTGATTGTCCATCACACAAAGAAGCTGGAATAGGCCCATTGAGTCGGTTATTTGACAAAATTCTGCAAAAAGTTTGATCTTGCTCAACCATTAGCATATAATATGTGGAGAAAGAAGCCCTGAAGCATGCGCACGACAAAGTTGAAGTTTTCAACATTGAAAACGCATGCACCATGTGAAATGTGTAAGAGAGAAAAATCTGTTCTTACAGCACATTGAGTGATGTCAATTCTTCTAAAGAGGGCGGTATTGGGCCTGTTAAATCATTGTTTGACAAGTCCCTGAGACAAAATACATGGATTACATTAGTTATTGATATGTTTTCATGAGAAATTTCATTAAAAAAAAAGTAGCTACATGTTGATCTATATAACTTTGGTCCTTGGAAACCAGATTGCATTAGTAAAGCCATATTAGTTCAGTTTGGATGTTATAGGATGTGGTTAAAGAAAACCCCAAGCTAATGCTTTGGGTTGTAAACTGGTCCATCTGCATTCCTGATTTTGGCAACTAACATGAAAAAACAAAAGCCTTTTGTTTATGGAGTAAGAAAAAGGAGATTAGAAGTGAATAAAATACACATGTAAAAGGGTACCAAGTCAATTTCATGCAACATCTACAAATTGTTCTCAAGTTGTCTGCATGATATTGCTAGCCAGCAGCCTCTGACGATAAATTAAGAAACTTACAAATAGTTAAGGGCCTTCAGATTAGCCAAAGCATTTGGTATAGCACCATTCAACCCATGATAAGAGAGGTTTCTGCAAAAGAAAATAAAGTAGAAATCATTACATCAGAATCGGTGCTTTTTATTGATGTCTTTTAAAACAACCAAATCTTGGAGCTTACAATGAAGTGACTCTTGGGGTACCAGAGCTTGAGTAGGTGCAATTTACTCCACTCCAAATGAATTGCTGCGGAGCACAAGGATCACCCTGCCATATCTTCATCTGATATAATTTCTTTATCCCCATCATTGCATCAACTGTTAATTTTGCAGGTTAACCCAATATCTGATATGCTATGCAGAGAGAAATTCTTATTTACTTCAGGAAAGAGATAGCTTCGGTACAGATCAACCATGGTCCACCATACTGAATTCAATCTATTGTGAAAAAAATCCAAGGTTGGCATGTAATCTGATGCATGCCGTATAGATGATTATTGTAGACCCCTCGGAACAAATTTTAATATTCATTTCAAAATAGTAAATGGGCTCCATGAAGCATTTTGACACAACTCTGCTCGGAAAAACATTTCACATGCATGAGCACAACCTACAGCCACACCTTATATGATTTGGTTTAGATGTTTGTATGATCTTACCATTGATATTAATATCCAAATTGTGCTTGACCTAGCTTACGAATAACTATCTTGAAATGATATTTACAGGCACACCAGAACCATTAGATACAACACTTGTTATACGGTAACCCAGCCATTTTATATATTGTCAGTCTCAGTCATTTGTATTGTTGTCAATCTAACTTTTGTTTATCATCTCATACACGTCAAATCACCACGAGAAGTAAAAGCGCAGAAGAATATAAATTATGATTTCTGATAATGCATGGTTCAAGTGCTTGGACTCAAAAAGAATAATTAACATTTTTTCCCGAAAAGTATGCATATCCTCTGAACATAAGATTGACAGTTATGCATAATATCTCAAACATTTCATTGCAATAATCAAGTCTTTGGAATTATTGAACACTCCAAGTTGACCAAATGGATCCCTAAGTTTGTTCCCGTAGACTAATTATTTTAACAAAGGTAGCAGAAAATGTGCTTCATTTTACCAATGCTAAAACAAAATAAAGGAAAGAAACAATGTATTCATCTTCAACTTAATATGTAAACTTCAAATCAGCTAAATAAGCAAACAACTTATTGTATATGTTCAGGTAAGACACTAGTGAAATGGATAATGCACGGTTTTATGCCAATAACATACTACACTTTTTTCCTTCAGAAGATGGATAAAAGGGGGTGAAAGCATGAATGGTCACATTGCATGTTAGTCTTCCAAAAGTGTGCAGGTAATTAATAAGAAAAACACAGTTCATCTTGAGGGGGGAAAAGAAAAGAACTAGCAGATGATACAAGTTATTGACCGGACTAGAGCAATGGATGTCCAAAGTAGTGGTGGGATAGCATACCATCGGCTGGATCTGTTGCCAAAACTGAAAGATTAATAGGAATGTAAACCTCAGCAGCATTGAGGATGGGGGGAAGGGTGGAGCCGGCCACCCTTGTCAGATTAAAATAACCATTTAAGCCTGGGTACGCCAGCCGATGGACGAAATGGACATGAGTTGCCAGTAGATATGCAGGACTGATGTTATCACTATCGGGTTCCCCGTCTGCTCTCACCTGAAAAATTCTACTTCCATTCCCACTTAAATAGTCGAAATCAGCAAAGTGCAAATAGATATAGAATGTTGTTTGAACACTCGAATTGAGGCCATAGCCCAAGAAATATTGCAATGTAAAATTATCTGCAGCAACAGTTGCAGTCCCCATGACCATGCCTGGGACCTCATAAGCATCACCACGAGTGGTCTTGATTCCCAAAGTACTGCTTGTAAAATTCCATGTTTCACCACCAATAATATAACTGTTGCAAGGATCCCATGTCCTATCATATTTATCTTCTGGATACCTGTACAGAATGAAATTTGTTAACCAATCTATATTATTAATACAGAGATATGAGATGATAGACTCAACCACTTTTCAAAGGCATAATAAAGAGAGATTATGCTAGTCGTGTTCCTCAAGACTCCTCCTTCGCCACACACGACAATGTTAATCAATGTCCTCATCGAGTTTGCTGTCCTCTCCCAAATTGTGGTAATTATCTCCTGGGATCCCCTATTTCTGCTCACTTATTTGTGTCAGATATATGTGATTATTTCTGAAATGTTGGTCCACTTATCTTTTTGTTGCATTACTGGAGTCTATAGCAAATTAGTGTAATCAAATTATAACATTATGCTAAGTTCATTTAGCTTGTGCTTCGTGTCTAACTTGTCAAATTGGGTTTGATTTAGTCTAATAGTCTAATAATCATATTATTTTAACCACAGTTCCATAAGTTTTCATATGAGAATTGCAAGTCTTAAACACAACTTAAATCAAAATCCATGCACTTGACACGATACAAAACAAATACGTCCATAATATCCAGCAGCGACATATTGAGCTCTCAAACACAAATAAATTCACCAAAGACATCTCACTAATGAATTATTACATCATAAGTCTCAAGAGTTTGAACCATAAACAATATAATTTGTTGCCCTGATACATAACCAAATTTAATCTACTCGCAGGCATCTGAAAAATTTTAACAAGGATATGAGTAACCACAACTTAGTAAACACCAAAACTCATATATTAGCAAAACTTCTCATGGAAGCATTTTATAAAACTATACAATTATATAAAGAGCAAACATATCTTTACATGCTTTTCAAATCACAACTTTTTAGCTTAATAAGCACGTAAGATACCATAATTTTTTAACACATTTGCATAGAAAAACATAAGTAGATAGATTTCATTTTAATGCCAAGATTATTATTAATCAATCATGAATCAGTATGACCATATCGTATCCTTGTGACAAGGATCAAAATCATATTTAATCTCCATTAATAGGTAATACATTTATCTCTATGTCAGACCAATGTACAACAACAATTGATAAAATCTAAATCAAAACCAACTAATTGAGAACAATTAACCATTATCTAAAGTAACATGTTGAAACCTTATTCGAAATATGTTCAACAATATATCATTGAAAAATATAATAATTAAATATTTTAATTATTTTAAACAAATACAATATCGAAAAGCTTATTTTCAAAAGCCAATTTAACATTTGCAAATCACATAACTTCATTATTAACAAATATATTATTAAATTGGAAAACAAGTTAGACATAATCATTCGATACTTACGTTAATCATAGATTATTATAACTGATATAGTGATCAACAATCTCCTTATTTTCCTAAATCATTCGAATAATATAAACCAATCCAATAAACAATCATAATATTTTCTTTCTTATCTGAGAATGACTATTTTTTTTTTAAATCACAACATATTCAATGATTTTAGAATAATTAATCTATAGTCTTATTTACTCTCTGATTGGTAGGGAATGAATAGAAATTCAAAATCATACATATATATATATATATACTCTTTCAAATTTAAAACTTACTCTCTTGATATAAAAACAACATCCTTATTAATCTCACACCAATTTTATTTTTTTCTCCTCTTTTCTTCCCCTGCCAAAGCCACCCCTTTCTTCCTCTATTCTATCATTTCGAAAGTAATGTGCTTGCTCCTTTAAAATCAATATAGCATATTTTTAAACTATATCTTCATAGAAGCCTTGGTTGTAGTTCTCTTTTTCTAATATTTCTCTGCTTTAAAACTAGGAGCCAACTCTTGCATGATGTTATAATTATACAAACATCAAATAGAAGAAGATCGTAAACAACCACATTATATACAAATTGATTAATACTTGTCTTCAAACACCATAAATAAAGCAACCCATCTTTTCTTATATCAACGACACAAATTCTTTTTTCATTAATCACAGCCAATCTACAAATCTAAAATACCATATAAATAAAAAGTAGAGTGATGACATACCTTCTCCTCATCTACGGTAAAGTCTTGGATTATCCACACTCAAAATTTTAGGATTAAAGTCTAAGTAATCGTCAAAAGATTAAATGTCATTGCACCCAGAACCGATCATATATATCATCAATCATATGGAAATAAACATGCCTCCATGTGTCTTTGAGGAAGAGAATACCACAAAAGGTCCAAAATCCCATCACATATCCTAGTACCATGCTGATATAGAACCATAACCACTCGGGAATCTCCTTCTCGTACTCTTGTATATCATTTTGAGTTGTTTTATTATTAGAGCAACTTTTGGAAGTTGGTGGTCCACATAAGTCAGCGTTACCCATGTAAATGGATGGATCAATGAGTGTTTGGAGTTGATTACCAGATGGTATCATTCCCGAAAGATTATTATACGACAAATTCAAATAGCTCAAGAAATATAAAGCCGATAAGCTCCCAGGAATGCTACCAGAAAGGTCGTTTATCGATAGATCAAGGGATTCTAATAATTTCATTCCTCCTATATCCCAAGGGATTTTCCCTTGTAAATGATTTCTTGACAAATTCAAATTCTTGAGTTCTGCAAGGTCACCAATTCCTTCTGGTATCTCTCCGGTTAGTCTATTGTTTGAAAGATCCAAACTTTTCATAAGAGTTATGCTGCATTTTAAATAATAAAGATCTTGTCCCTTTGTAAAGATATCTAATTCACAATCACAATATTCATAATATTGTGATGTCGATCTCATGGCACTTAAATTACCAATGTTGTGAGGTATTGAACTAGAGAAGTAATTATTCGCAAGATCCAATATTTGAAGCCGTTCAAATCGAGCAAGTTGCCAAGGAATAACTCCTGAAAACATATTTGAACGTAAACGAAGCACTACCAGTTGTTGTAGATTTTCTCCCATCCATAGCGTTATACTTCCGACAAGATTATTTTGAGTCAGATCAAGAAACCATAAATTTGTACAATTTTTCAATGACAAAGGAACCTCACCCGAAAAACTGTTATTTTTCAGTTGCAAAAGTGAAAGCCCACTTAAAAACCCGATCGTGTATGGAATTTCACTCGACAAGTGGTTGTTGCTCAAATCTAAGAACTGAAGATTTTGTAATGATTTTCCCAGACAATAAGGTATCTCACCAAATAATTTATTGTTCGAAAGGTCAAGGAATTTAAGATATGTCCATTGGCAGATTGACGAAGATAAGCCACCATCAAGCATGTTATCTGAGAGTGCCACTGATTGAACATAGGGCCATATCGGCAATTGCCCTGTAAAGGAATTATTGAAGAGAGATAGAGTATGAAGTATAGATGGTAGCATCGTTGGTAATGAGCCTTCAAATCTGTTGGAATCCAAATATAATCTTTTCAACTTGGTGAACTTTAAAGAAGACGGCAGCTTCCCTCCTATTTGATTGTTGGAAAGGTCTAAATCTATAATGGTAGAAGATGAAATATTCCAAAACCAAGCAGGCATTGTCCCTGCAATTTTAAAGTCTTTCAAAAATAATTCTTCTATCTGTGTTTGAAACTGCAACCATTCTGGAAATTGAGGTCCCAACTGACAATTGGTTAAACCTACTAATCTGAGTTGGAAAGGGGGGATCCAACTCTGGCCAATTGATATGGTGATGGAGTTGCCATACAAGTCCAACCCTCGCAATCTCGTAAGATTCTCAAAATGAACTTGTGAAATAACACCTCCAAAAGAATTTTCACCGAGATTCAATTCAGTGAGATTAGACAACTTACCAACGGAAGAAGGGATGGAACCGTTGAATAAATTAAATCCGAGATTCAAAATGATGAGATTCGTCATTTGCTCCAGCCAACCGCTTAACTTCCCTTCGAGTTGATTGACTCCTAGATTAAGAACAGTAAGAGAGCCCAAGTCTCCAATTGCATCAGGAATAACGCCATGGAATCCAGAATTATAGAGATCAAGATGGGTAAGACTAGTAATATTCCACAACCATTTGGGTAAGGTGGAGTTGAAATTATTATAGGAGAGATCAAGCACAGTAAGAGAGGAGGTGAAGTTGACGTGCACAACAGAAGCCGGGATGGTCTTGAGACCAACGGAAGACATACTTGACACTTGGAGGGATGGCAGCATGTTCACCGATGAGAACCAATCCGGGACATCAGTTAGGTTTAACCCGCTCAAGTTCAGGTACTTCAAGGACCTGAGATGGGAGAGCCAGTTGAGGTTGTCAACATGGGATGTAAAATGTAAAGCATCGCTTAGATCAAGAACGTAGAGGCTCGAAAGCTATGCCATCCGCAACTACCAACAAACCTAAGCAGACTCGGACGATGAAGTTTCTCATCGTTTCCCTGCAGCTCAACTCCTCGATGCCATCCGCAGATTTTTGCTTCAGCAGGCACCATACATATATATATATATATATATATAGAGAGAGAGAGAGAGAGAGAGAGAGAGAGAGAGAGAGAGAGAGAGAGAGAGAGAGAGAGAGAGAGAGACTGACTGACTGACTGACATACATATATGAATGTCCAATGGCTTTGGTATACTGTAAAGACGAAGACGACGACGACTGACATACCGAACGTTTGTGTTTGATATGATTTTTTTTTTTTGCTAGAGTCTCTTAATATTTGTTTTACTAGGAAGACTTGATATAGAGTAGATGAACGACTTAGACCAGTTTTACCATTAAATTAAAATAATATTGAAGAGGTTGGGATGTCATCATCTTACCACTAAATTGGAGCCGTATTGAAAGAATTTATTTCTTTTATAAATATCATATATATATATATATATATATATATATATATCTAGATTTTAAGAGAGAGAGAAAAAATATGAAGAATATATATATATATATATATATATATATATAGAGAGAGAGAGAGAGAGAGAGAGAGGAGTCGTTGTTAGTTAGATGTTCAATTTCAATTCATGGCTTTGGCATAAAGTAGAGACGACTTGGACTTGGAGTGATAGAGTTAAGTT